AATACGATCCATTAAAGCCTAATACGATCCATTAAACCTCAATACGATACATTAAAGCCCAATACAACCGTTAAAGCCCAATACGTTCCACTAAAGCACAACTAACATTCGTTAAAGCCATACAACTTAAGAAATACATACAATTTTACAATAAAATAGCTGGTATCATAGCCATACCTCCCTTTGTTAATCTTCACCCATCTTCATCTTTCTATATGATTGGATTAGTATGCTCTGTGAGTGCCGTCTACGCACGGATCTCTCACATCAGAAAACCATTCTATAGAGAAGAAATTGAAGATATAAGCGAGAGTTCTGCTAATTTGCACTTTCTTGTTACCATCTTCCTTGTTAATAGAGTTTGTAAGTCGACGTAGAAGAAAGTCGCAGCCAGTCTCAACAATAGGATAGATAGAATAAGTAGTGCTAAATCAAGTCATGAATCCAAACCATAGCTTATCACGTTCTTCTTCTTCTTCTAGTTGTAGACAGTCTTCTGCCTCTAAAATAGACCAATTATATGAAATTTCTTATGTCCCAGATGATTCTAGAATACCTATCACTAGTATGCCTTTAGTTAATCCCTATAACGTATTTTCTAAGCCTTATATTTCTTTTTCAAAAAGAGTCAAAAAATTGTTAGGATCCACCTCTCATGAGCAAGTTAAAGAATTTGTTCAAACTTCTAAATTTGACTCCCACCAACTCTCAGCTACCACATCTGAGCACTTAGTGAAACTCTCCCTTCAAACAGACCTTCCTAGACACTTATCTTCTATGGTAGGAAAGGTCTCCCTGCATTTTCATGCATTGCCAAAGTAGACACAAGGTTTGTAGAATACCAGCATGCTTGCATAGGAACAATCCAAACCACTCTAAATGCTGGAACCATCTTTGTCACTTTCTATCCAAACTTAACATGCCGCTCAATGATCCTTCTTTACATACAACACTTAAGGCCCAAATCCAGATTGGTGGTACTCCCCAAGTAAACACCATCCAAGCAACATTTCATTACCAGATGACGTACCAAGTACAAAACCATTCTCTAGACATCATGGTGCCAGATCAAGAACATGCTGGAGACGCGCTCTTCATAGATATCAACTCAAGTGCAACACCTACATATACATATGCCCCCAGACAGTTGTCCAAAGAGGAGTTACTCAAGCTACTCCCAGAAAAATGGATAACTAACTATGAGCAGATCCATCAAGCACCAGTACAAACTATCACGGCCCCAGACTTCATCCGACATGAAAACGGACTTGTAGAAGTCAAATTCTCTTCCCATAAAAAACCCAACATCTTTCCTACAGTTCACATGGTTGAGCCAGTTCAACCTTCACAGCTAGCAAAACACTACTGTTACGATGTATGCAATTGTCAAGAATGCCTAGATGAGGCATACGGAGTTGAGTATGATGAAGACACTCCAAAAAGAAAGGGTTCTCAACACAAGCTAAAAAGGAGATATGAAGCAGGAGATCCTACAGTAGGACTTCTTGGTGAACCATCAGGAAAGTTCGACTATTATGTTCTCTATGGAAAATCTCCAATTACGACCCGTGAAGCTTGTCATAATCCACTCCCTAAAAGTCCCCACACGCGAGCCCAAGAAGAATGTTGTGTCATCACCCCAACAACATCAACCTCCGATTACCAAGCTGAGTTCCCCCCACCCCTACTAAGCCCTTTTGAAACTACTCAGCAACAAACCAAGCATGAGTGGAAAATAAAATCACCCATGACTATAAACTCTACAGGAATCTATGATTCCATCACTGCTGTTGAAGCCACCTCAATTGGCAAAGTGAAAATGTTGTCGCTCAGAACCAAGTCCTGAGAAAAATCCTAGCTCAACAAACGAAGTCCATGAAGACACAGGAAATCCTCATTCCAAGAGTTCAATCTCTTGAGGGAATGATCAACGAGATCAAGATCAAGATCAAGATGCAAAAACTTCATATCGAACTACTCCAATTAGTTCGTGAAATTCCTCCTTCCCAACCATAAGCCACCCTTGCCCAAAAGGAAGCAGAAATGAAGTTTCCTAAAAACCAACTTGTTGATCTTGAAAGACAGCACAAACAACAAAGGATATCAACTTCAGTTGATGATCCATGGAGATTACCCTCCACACCTTTTGTCAGAACATCTTTCGACCCACAACCACTACCTCCACCACTACCTAGACAAAACTCCCCATCCCTTTCGTTATGGTCCTCAAAAAAACAAAAACTGAAGGCCAAAGCCTCCCGATTCTCTGAAGGATCATCTCAAGCTCCAAATAGGACAGTGGTAACCTCAACCACAGAACCTATGCCTGATGATACTTCGATGTCGGCCTCCTCAAAACCCCAAAATGTCTTCCCAATAAACCAACCAAACCCCATTTCTACATTCCTTCAATCATTAGCCTAACACCAAAAAGACCCAAATTCCATAATTGTTGCCCCAAATATCAACCCTATACCACATGAAGAAGATGCCTTTGATCCCGCTAAAGCCTTTAAACATCTGTTCATGATGGAGCCAGAATCCACTATACGAAATGATTAAGATAGTGATAATGGCCCAGAAGATGCCGCCTCCAGGATGACACCACCTAGAAGAGCCAAGACTCCAAAAGGTGATTCACAACTACAATTCACCTTTGACGATATCCCACCCTCCCAATGGCGAGACAGAAGCATAAAGATGTTAAGCTGGTGTTTAGCTGAACTTCAATTCTATGACATTGACACAGTCATCAAGAGATTCCTAACCTGAACTCAAGGCCACCTCCGAGATTGGTACATGAGCCTTGGAGAATACAGACAGATCCAGATCCAACAATCACATTCTTCTTAAAAGTTCATCCATATAATCTATACAGAATTCATCGGCAACCCCGTCGAGCACACAACCTAGGCAAGAGACGAGTTTTTGAAAATGAAGTGCTGCTCATTCATGAAAAAGGACCTTGAAAGGCATTATGACCAAATGTCAAAAAGGTTCTATTGTCTTAATGGTGTTGACGATACGAATCTCAAACAAATGAGGTAAACAGGTTCTTAGAATCAAAAAATGTCTCAGTCGCTCAAACCTCACTGGGTGGGCTTTATCAATTGATACTCAACGCCCTCACCAAACTCTGCAACCAAAAAATATTCTTATCAGACATTGAAAAAATGGGTAAGCGACTTGGAGCAGCCTGTGATGAAAAATACCTCCAAATAAAATGCAAATACAAATCCAATTGTGAGTGTTCTGATAAAGGGAAGAAGTCTCATTTCAAGAAGTTCAGAGGATCAAGCACCCACAATTCCTTCAAAAGGAGAAAGTCATTCTCTCGAAGGAAGAAGTGGATATTCATGAGGAAGAAATCACAATGAAGGAAAACCATTGACAAGTGTTACATCTGTCATAGAAGAGAACACTTCGCCAAGGATTGTAAAGATAAGAAGAAGTCTCAAGCACTAATTCAAACACTCAGCAAGATTGAACCAGTCGATCTTTCTGATCTTGAATCTTTATACTCCCTTAATGATGAACCAGCGGATCATACGATATGCACGATTGCCTATTTTGATTCGTCATCGGAAGAAGAATACAACTCAGACTTAGACTATTCAGAGGGATATTCTGATATTGGAGTATTTATGGCAGAACCTCTTCCACTTCCTCATATTTCTCTTCCTATTAAAAACCTCATTACCCCTCAGATACTACCCTTACAAAAAGCGCAGCCAGTACCACTAGCAAAAGTCCACCTGCTTACTTCCACATATGTCAAACCCATTCTAGTTATTGCATTCTTTGATACAGGATCCTCAGTTTCGATATTAAATCCTAACATCCTGCCTAGTAATTACTGGAAACCGCATCATCAGCACTTCTTAATAGCCAATGGTGATACATTCGTCATTGACATGATATGTATCCCGGTATACATTAGGCTCTTTCCCAAGTGCGTCATAAAAACCAGATTGTTGGGATCAATTTTACATGGAAAGGATATACTGATTGGGTTCGATATCCTCCATATGCTACCAGGTCTGAGATATGTAGAACAAGGTCTCCGTTATAAGAGTTTTCTAAATCCTTGGAGTCCAATCCAAAGGCTCTATATAACCTCTACTCTTACAATGGAAACTCTCAAACAACAAATTATCCAGACTTCTTGTGCCTCTAACCATACTGAGTTCCTCACAAAAAATAAAAACCTAATATGGTTGAACCCTTCATTCTTTGCTACCCTCCCATTCAAACAGAATGAAGACGTGAACCCAACAAAAGCAAGCCATCTTGGAATGAATCCTGACCATTATCAACTTGCAGTTCAAGAATGCTCAGAACTCGTTGATCAAGGGATAATAGAGCTGAATACATCGCCATGGGCGTGCGAAGCATTTTATGTTAACAAGAGGAATGAACAAGTTCGTGGTAAATTAAGGTTTGTGATAAATTATCAGCCTCTTAACCACTTCTTGGCTGATGATAAGTTCCCTCTTCCCCAAAAGAAGTCGTTGTTCCAATCCTTGGCAGATGCAAGAGTTCTATCTAAGTTTGATCTAAAAGCTGGATTTTGGCAGCTTGCATAACTCCTAAAGATAAAGCAAAAACTGCCTTCTGTATTCCAGATCATCATTATCAGTGGAAGGTGATGTCGTTCGGTTAAAAAATGCTCCATCATCTTTTCAAAAGGCTATGGTAAAAATATTTGAACCCATTCTCCACAATACTTTGGTATACATTGATGATATCCTCTTATTCTCTCTAGATAGAGAATCGCATGTAGACTTGCTTTCATAGTTTCATTCCATAGTAACAGAGTATGGCATCATGCTCTCTGAAACGAAAATGAAATTGCTGTTGACTCCATTGATTTCCTTGGAATGAAAATTTTCGACGGTATGTATCAGCCATAGCCCCATGTTGCCCATGAATTGCACAAATTCCCAGACAAGCTGACGTCACAAAAGGAAATCCAACAATTTCTTGGTCTCGTCAATTATATGGCTGATTTCTTACCAAAGCTGTCAAGTCATACATTGCACCTGTTCCCTATGCTAAAGAAAGATTCCCCACCATGGACTGACAAACAGATGCTAGTTGTAAAAGCAATAAAGCAATTAGCTGATGTGATGCCCCCTTTAAAGATTCCCACTACTACCGACAAGCGAATCTTGCAGACTGATGCAAGTGATGAATATTGGGGAGCAGTCTTGCTTGCTCAAGATAAGAATAATGTCAGGATAGTGTGTGGATACAAGAGTGGCGCGTTCAAAGACTCAGAGAAGCACTATCATTCAACTTTCAAAGAGATTCTTGCGGTCAAAAGATGAATAGAAAAATTCCAATTTCATCTTATCGGTCATGAATTTCTGATCGAGATGGATATGTCTTCTTTCCCTCGTATGATGCAATTCAAAAGAAAGATGCTTCCTGAAGCACAGTTATTGAGGTGGTCAAATTGGTTCTCCTAGTGGAAATTCACAGTAAAACACATCAAAGGAACATAAAATATTCTCGCAGATTTTATGTCACGACCAAGAGGCTATAAATGCAGTGTTCATAAAGAAGTTCAACCCATCCTCAAAAACCAAATCCTCCCAATGGTGTTCTCAATAAATGACGCTAGTTCTTCAAACCAAGATGCCTCTCAAGCCATCCCCATGAATTTCCCAGAAGAAAACACATAAACCATTGCCGACTTAACCTTGAAAGAGAGATCCCACCTTAACTACAAGACGTTCTTTACCATCACTCTACAAAAGCATGACCTCTTCATGAAAAATCTCAAGTTTCATCTTGATTACCCTTTTTTGAACATCTTCCATATTCACAATTTGCATGGGTTATCAAAAGACGCACTATGCGTTTTCTGGTATCTCTTCGAGTCCTTCACTATTGCCATATCATTCAATGCCGTCAAGCGATACTCATACTTGTTCTAATGCCAATTTGAGAACGCCCCAAAAAGTTCCAAAAATGTCTTCTCACTCTTCAACTGGTTTGATCTTTCTTACAAATGGCTACAAAAGTTATCCACGTGCTATAAGACTTATGTAGTCATCATGTTCATAAGGCCCTGTTCTTTCTTACCTCCTACGGTAATTACAGGACAAACACAATCAATCGTTCACTATTCACCCTTAGCCTTCATCCATGATTGGTATGATGTTAATCCATCCAGCAAATATTTTGAAATATACCAAGCCCACAAGCACATGGAAATATGTGGTGTTCTTTCCTGTGCCAATCAAGTAAGTCCCCAGACGATTCCAACACATGTCATGGAAAACAAAGATTTATGGCATGCAGAACACCCATTGTCATCCAAGTGGAATGAGTCTGTTCAACAGTGGTTTCAAACTAATCTGTCGCAAAAAAATAGATACCTCTGATGAATATAACTCCACAGACCAAGAAGAAGATGACGATTATGACCCGTATGAAGAGCATTTTGACCCATACGAAGACGATCCATCTCATCCAGATTCACGATGAAAATAAAATATAATACAAATATTCCAGATTTTTTATTGCAAAATAGTATGTATATCTTAAGATTTATGTATTAGTGTGATGTAAAAATGATGGAAGCTTTAGGTCACTTTAGGTGATGTAAGCGCTTACCTCATTTTGCACCAATAATTGTAATGCTCATGTAAGGGTAACTTTTCCTTGCTTATAAAAGGAAGGTTTCCTGTTATGAATGAAATTCAATGTAAAATTGTATTCGTCTTGAAAGATAAAATTGTCTATAATTGTATAAAAATCATCGTGTTTGACTTTTATTAGGACTGTTTGACTTTGACTTTGTCTTGTAGTTTGACCCTATATAAAGGGTGTTTGGCTTTGTAATTTGTAAGGGAGTTCATTTGATAAATTCAGTATATGTATGAGAGTTTGACCAAGACTTTGATTGTTGACTTTCTCTCTCTCTACTCATTCTAAGTTCTTAAAAGAAATTGTTGGGTTCAAGTTAATGCTTTAATGTTGTATTCAAGTTTCTCCTTAGTATAGTTGTTTTGTAATAGTTTAGCCTTTACAATTTCCTAGTWTAAATAGTGATTTCCTTGTAATTGTAATAAACAATCGTCATTAGCAGATTGATCAAGATTAGTGCTGTAATATTCTCTCTCTATCAATCTAATCATCCTTTGTTCATATTCTTTCCATCTTTGATGTTCATCATGATTCTTGAAGATTGCTTAATGTTTGTATGATTTCTGGGACTATCAATTGGTATYARAGCAAGCTGCAGCAGTTTGGATTTGAAGATATATCCAATTTACACAATTTTCTGCACGATTTTTAGAATTTTTTTTCGATCTGTTCTTCACTGTTCTTGAACTTTTTTTCGTCCGGATTGGGGTTTTTGAGCCTAAATCGTTCATTTTTGGAGTGTTAATTGTAAAGATTTGTATTGTTAGATCCGGTTTACATTTCAAACAATCTTGATTCACATCATTTTGCATTTTAAACAAGTTTTAAGGCTGAAATAGTCGAAAATCGATTTTTAGCTTTCTGGAAAAAGTTCTTAAAAACTCATATTTTTTCATGTTTTGATCCAAATTTTTGGTAAAAAGTGTGAAATTTTATGTTTTTGCTTGAATCTTTGTCCTCTTAAAGCTTGTGCGGTTTAACATCCGTGTGCTTCGAGTTGTTTTGATATAGGATATACCGGACATCATTTGGGCGGATACATTGACCGGTTTAGCTAATCCGGCTGACAAACCGTTGATGCTTTGTGYGGATTAGTTGATGCTTTGTGCAGTTTAAAGAATCCGGTTGATAAACCATGTAACTCTTAAAAGGTTTAGTGTGCGGTTTAAAAGTATCCGGCTGGTAAGAAATTTGTAACTTGTTCGGATATTGAACGGTTTAAAACAATCCGTGTGGTAAGTGTGTGCGGTTTAGAATCCGTTTGGTAAGTCTTGGACTTTTGAGCGGTTTATTTCTACAATCGTAGATATCTTGGATGGTATTAAATTGAACGGTGTTTGACTTTTTGATTGGTTTAATTGTTTGATTTTTTGATCGGTTTAATAAGTTTGACTTTTTGATCGGTTTAATAGTTTGACTTTTTGATCGGTTTAATTGTTTGACTTTGTGATCGGTTTAAAATCTTACTCTTTGTGCGATTTATCTTTRTGCGGTTTATGTCCATGTGTTGCCCGGATTTCTAATCCGGATAACTTGATAATTTTTTCTATCTTTTTGACCGGACTTGTAAACCTGATAAACTTGTGCGGATTACTAATCCGGACAAGTGCTTGTGCTTAATTGTCTAAGCGTTGAATGTGTGCTTATTCAAGTTTACACTTTATCAGATATATTTTTTTATAAACTGATCTTTTAAATTCAAACTTTGAACTGCAGTTGATCCTATTTTTCATACAAACTGATAAGATGAGTTCAAAAGAAGCAATGGCTATTGGTACTGATACCAAGCCACCAGTTCTTTTTCGTGGTGACTATAATCAATGGAGAGACAGATTTCTGAACTTCATTGAAAGGATGAAAGAAGGAGATCTGATCATGAAATCTCTAATGGAAGGTCCTGTTGAATTCTTTATAGAGATAGAATCTGAAACAGTAGTAGGCATACCTGTACAGAAAGTTCCTAAACTGAAGGAACATTATTCAGCTGAAGAGAAAGAAAGAGCCCATGCTGATGTGCTTTGCAAATCTTACATGATGCAAGCACTGACTAATGACATCTACACCAGTATTGACAGTTATAAATCATATGGTCACAGCATGTGGGTTCAGATAGAAAAGATGATGATGGGTTCGAAAGTTGGAACTCAACTDAAGATTACAAATTGTATTTCTGCATATGAAGAATTCAAGGCTAAAGAAGGAGAAAGCCTTGATGATGTCTATAACAGACTTGCCAGACTGCTAAACGAGCTGACAAAGAACGGAATTTTCAAAACTACTATAGAGATAAATGTTAAGTTTCTTAACAATCTCCAATCAGAGTGGAAACCATTTGCTAATCATATCAGATTTAACAAGMAGTTATCTGATATTGATATTCATGAAATATATGAAATATAGAAATATTGATGTTTTGATGCTTACATGAAGATTGATCAATATTGGAACATACATTTCCCCTTCATTTGTAATCATCCCTTGAAAAAGAAATAAAAACCTCTTCCATACATTTCCTCTCTTGTTCTTGTTCTTCATAGCTTTCATACATAGTCTTTCTCAAAACACTAGTCTCTCCATAGTCACAACACTAGTCTCTCTATAGTCTCTCCTCCTAATATTGGAATCATTAGCTGAGTCACAACACTAGTCTCTCTATAATCTTTCCTCCCAATACGGGAATCATAGCCAATAGAACTGTTAAAACTTAATACAATACATTAAAATCCAATACGATCCATTAATGCCCAATTGGTCTATCAAAACCTAATACGGTTCATTCAAGACCAATACGATCCATTAAAGCCCAATACGATCCATTAAAACCCAATACGATCCAGTAAAGCCCAACTAACACCCATTAAAACCCAATAAAACCATTAAAGCCCAACTAACATCCGTTAAAGCCCTATACGATCCATTATTTAAAGAAAAGTTTGAAAATGGGAAATCCGCCGGAAAATTTTAAAAATGATTTTTTCCAATTAAATTTCTAGCGGATTTATTTTTTTTTAAATTAATTAATTTTTCGTCGGAAATCCTCCTAATCCGCCGGAAAATGTTAAAAGATTTAATTTTTATTTTTTAAAAATGTTAATTTCAAAAATATTTCCGGCGGATTTATTTTTAAAAAGATTTATATTTTTCTGCCTGAAATCCGCCGGAAAATGTTAAAAGTTTTAATTTTTATTTTTTTAAAATGTTAATTTCAAAAATATTTCCGACGGATTTATTTTTTAAAAAGATTTATTATTTTTCCGCCGGAAATCCGCCGGAAAATGTTAAAACCGGTTTCTAATTTCAAATATATTTCCGGCGGATAGTAATTTTAAAAGATTAATTAATTTTCTGCCTGAAATCCGCCGGTAAATTATTTTGATTAAATTAAAATGCAAGTCTAATATAATTAATTAAGAACTCCGCCGGAACCCCGCCGAAAATACAATCAGTCTAATATTTTCGGCGGATTTTCGACGAAAGTCAATAAAAGTTGACTTTTTTGAAGTCCCACGGAAATCCGCCGGAATATTACCAGCGGAAACCGCCTGCTGGAAATAGCGCCGGAAATGGCCAGTTTTATAGTAGTGCGGATAATTCCTTGTTTATCTATCACCAAGGATCACCAGTTGCGTACATGCTATTATTTGTGGACATCAGACGGCTTCATCTGATTCAC